ATGGCCTGAGCTGAAAACAGGTGATGAAATATTAATCACATCTTCCCCGAAAATACTACCTTGGTAGAACTAAGGAATATGATCCTTCTTTCTTTACAGCCTGGTTTCAACTCAGAAAAGACATCCTGTTATTGTCTTTCTGTAAAGCCCACATAGGAGCATTTCTGCACCTGTAAGACATGAGCAGGTTGGGAGAGCTCAGCCCATTTACTAAGAAAAGAGCACAAATCACTCCTGCCTAACACCTCACATGCCTTCACAGCAGCAAGATTTCAGCCTCAGATACCGAAATAACACCACAAGCTGACAGCAGCGGAGCAAGTGGCTGTGTCTGCCCAACTGCCATTCTCCTTGCTGGGGAGCTTCTAATGGAAGTGATTTCTCACCCAGGTGGTTACGGGCTCTCTGAAGCTTCAGGCTAGCAGATCAAGGCTGGGGGTGTAGGGGGACTTAAAGAAAAGAACGTGATTAATTTATTCATGACAATTTTCTGTAATTTGCCAGGAGCCAGAGGTTGCAATATACAACAAGCAGAAACACTTTGCAGCACACAGCAGAGAAAATGATTAAAATTGCATGCATCAGGGTGAACCCAGAGCATATTTCCACTAGGCATAACCAGCCTGCTGGGTGAGTCCTTGCCTCTCATTCAGCCAAGGCACCACTCCCCTGTAAGCTCAGCATCAGCGCTTTTTCTGCTAAGCATAGATTTTTGTTTTGCCACCTACCAGTCTTTCACAAAAATCACAAACCCGGAATCCATCTGAAGAATATCTGGGGCAACACCCTACAATAACATATTCAATCAGCAACTAAGACAACCCAGCCATTAGTCTTGTGTATTACTAGAGCTGCAGTATGAAAAGAGCGCTCCTGGTTAGGAAGCGGAAGGATGGCTAAAGGGCACGATACCTCTGTGAAGAGGATTTCTTTATTCAGACTGGCATATAGGGAACGCTTACCTCCTGCCCACCCTGCTTAAGAAAGCAACCCCGCCTAGGGTGGGAAGAGCTCAGCTGCTAACAACACATCCTTTCCCATTCCCCACTGGAGGCATGTAAAATACATTTTCTTAGGGGAAAAACAACATAGCAGAGATTTTCTTCCCAAGCAGAAAATGCTCAACCGCTTCAGCTCTTCATTTCCATCCTTTCTTTCCCTGAGCTGGAGAAAGACAAGTCAGCCTCACGTTAAAAGCTGTATTCTAGTGATGATTATCAGCATTTGCACACCCCACAGGTCACACTTTGGGAAGCTCCATTCTTACTAAAGCAAAGGTTAATTGTTCCTCTTTCATTTGCCAGACTTCAAGAAAAGAATTTTTACAGTATGAAGTGTGTGTGTGTGTGGGGGGGGGGGTTCCCCCCCCCCTTTTTTTTTTTTTTTTTTTTTTAAATCTCTAATGCAGTTTTTGCATCTCTGGGAAAAAGTCCGAGTCAGAAAGTGCCAAAGGCAAATATTATCTAATTCTTCTAATGGAAAGCTCCATTAAGCCACTTTTAGCAACCGCTGCCGAGTCAGGATGGGTCTCGGAACAAAGTCATTGAAAAGCAAAAAAGTCTCCAAGCTATAATGGACTTTAATGAAGAAAACCACTAGCAGGAAAATAAGCAGAACACAGAGCACTAACGTTACAGCAGCCAGGTGTGGGGGTCCCTTCTGGGCCTGTCAGATAACCTCGTGCTCTGTCAACAGAGCAATTACTGAAAATGCATGTCCTCCCTCACTCAAGCCTTTGGCGGATCCCATCGGCCTAAAAGCCGCTCTCAAATAAAAAGAATCTTTCAGGAAAGCGTGGAGTAAGAGTAACAAAGACAACTGAAGTCGCACCAATCTGTAGAGGGCAAGACCAAAGATTTACTCGGGGAATCTGCGGCAACTCAGGCTGACCCAGAATTATTTTTTATGTATTGAAATACCAAACACGCTTAGCTGATATCTCCATTACTAAAAAAAAAAAAGAACGAATGAGAAAACCCACCTTCTGCCAAGCCAAGCACATATTACTGGACCATAACAAACGGCAAATGGTTTCTTGTTGTTATCATTAGCTGTTCGCTGCCTGGACCTCTCCTACTGCAGGCAAACAATTCAGCACGCTTCTCCAGGCTGCGCGCGCCCGGTAGAGCCAGGGAAACGCTGGGCTCCTTGCGGATTCACGCTTTTGGAACTACTCTAATACAGCAACGAATTATAGCACAAATTTATTTTACACCTGGGCGGGGGAATATATTGACAGGCAGGGAGGGAGGGTTTTTAAGGCACCAGCTTTGTTTAAAATTGCTCTCCCAAACCAACAGAAGCCAAGGGGAGAGATGCTAACAATTTGTATTACATTAGCATGTAGAGGTCTCAATCTCTGCGAGGCCCCACTGAGCTAAGCACCGTATTAAAGGGACAGATACTGCCTCAGCGAGCTTACGGTTGGGACAAAAGAGATGGATTAAACAATTAAGCAACATTTGGAAAAAGCTAGCCCATCGCCTGGCTGCTTCACAAAGAACAGCGCCAAGATTACTGCAGATCTTTAGACTTTGCAGTTTACCTTATACAACTGCCATTGCTCAAACTGGAAGTTCTCACTTCAGCCCTTTTCCCCAGGCTCCCGCAGCAGGCGAAGCAGGAAAGGGGAGTAAACAGACCAAAGGAGGCCTGAATTCCCAAGGTTCATTTTTTTCTTCTGTGGCTTTGAACTGTCCGGGTGTGCGAGTGAACAGAAAGTGTCACTGCCACCTTTCCCTGCCTACCACTCCCCAGGGACCAGCAGGGACAGTGACCACTTCGCTGACAGTAGGGACAGGGAGGGGAGAGAGGCAGACTCCGGAGGACCGAATTCAGGAAGAAGAGACACAAGGGACACTGAAAGCCCTGAGCAGCAGTCAGTTCCTGCCATGATCTTGCAGCTGAACGCAATGCGCTTTCTTGAGAAAACCTGAAGATACAAAACTACTTCTCACCTCTACAGCTAGGCCTACGTGCCCATATATTCAAATTAGATTTACCAAATATTTTAGCAGGTGGGCACAAGGGGAACCAATCTTCACTCTTCCTTTCTCTGAAAAGGATCAAATTAAAATTTATTTAAATAAAAGAAGAACTATTAGACAACCCAACAGTGCTTTGCAAGTGCATTCCTAGCTCAGAAAGTGTATTTATAATTCCAGAGACATCTAACATTTGGATGCAATATATTCTGCAATTCTTAGAGCAGATTGTGCCACGCACAGTCGACTTGGAAGATGCATGGGTGGCCTGTCACAGCCGCTCGGTGCTCCAAGGGCCACCCAGGGCAGCTCTACCTTGGCCCAGCTGCCCCGAGCTCCCCAGGGGCGGTGGAGAGCAGCAAAGGACTCAACCCCGTCAGCTAGTGCCGCAGCCTGCCATCCCCAAGGCTGCTGCTATCACCAGCAGAAGCGCCCGCTCTCTGAGATCACACAGCACATTTGAGACTGCATCTGATACCGTCTTGCACCCACTCCTCCTGAATTCAGGTCTGCTGAGGAATCTATTCCCAAACCAGTCGCGCTGCCACCTGAAGAGAATAAGGAGTCCACTGAGCCCCGGCGTGAGGTTTTGTAAGGCCACTGTTCACCAGACGGCTGTGTTAGAGGGCTCCTCACAGATAACTCATCAGCACAAGGGAAACTACATATAACTGATAAGTATTTGGCCCCGAATAGCTCATCTTGCTCTGGTGGAGACTGACATCTTTTAGGCCGAAAGAGCTGCTACAGGCTTAGTCTACATTTCAGTCATTGCTTTGGTCACCAGAAATCTCTGCTCACCCCTGCACAGTCTAGGACAGCTCAGAAGACTACAGAGTATGTCAAGTGCTGCCAAACCCCTATTGTTAGCCAGGTACAGGCAGATCTACCTACACTTTCCTACTGTAACCATCAGTATTGGAAAGAGGTGCACAAAAAGGAAATGCTCCAAATAGCTATAACTTAAAAGGGGAGCCAGACAGGGGATACTGTCACAGCAGATCTGTGCTGAAGTGCTTGATCCCTCCCAGTATTTGATATCACTATAACATATACACTAAAAAGAACTACTAAACTATTTCACAAACTGTAGAATCAAACTCTATTTGTCCATGATTTGACATCTTTATTTCCCTTTTAAAACTCCCCTTATGTCCTTTACTAGGACATAAATGGTGACAAACTTGATGACAAGCTTCCATTAAGCCATTTTTAGCCCAGTTAAGCCATTTTGGCTTTAAGTCATCAGGTATTCTATTTTAGATGATGAAAACATCAGCACAGTCAGACCAGGAGAATCCATCTGTAAGCACAATGATCTCCTAAAAAGTTCTGCCAGTTTTTGCAACCAATTGAAAGCTCCTCTCTATATGGGAAAGGAGTTAATGTCATATCCAACATACAAAAACAAAAGCAAGAGGGCACTGACTAGCTATGAGAGATTCAGAGATTCTTGCACGTTCTTGCAGGGTATCTATGACCACATGCAGCAAGGCTTCCCCCCCCCCCCCTTTTTCTCCCTTTTTTTAGCACAACAAACAA